GATCTTTGTACTTTAACAGATTTATTTTTCATTATTCTCGTAACTTCACCCATGAATTCAGTACCAGGATCTACGATAATTGTTTCAGGCCAATTCAAACGTCTGGAATATATCTTTTCAAACCCTCTCGATACCTCTGTCGAGTACTTAGACGTCAAGGGCTCAGCATCTATATATCTACTTGCAATGTCAACGACCACTAGAGCATATTTATGCGTCTTCCGTTTTACTATATCATGTGGTAGAAATAATAAGTCTGCTTGATGTATCTGATTAACTATTTCGTCATTCCAGTGATATCTGGGGATATAATGTGGTTTAGGTAAATATATCTGCCACAAAGCTTGTTTTTCCAACCATTTTTTTACAGATTGTTTTTCAATATTAGTGGCGTCAGCTAGTTTATCAATAGCTTCATAACCCTTCCAATAACCCTGTGGGTTGTAATAATGGTTTGTTAATTTCTTGCTAATCATATAAATTATATAAAACAATAATCTTTTATAATATTATATAATGAGTCAATCGATATCGCAAGTGCTTGACGTCAATCAAGAATCGAGGAAACCTTTCGCATTGAAAGCTGAAAGAACCCTACATAGAGTACCATTTAACCCTAGTAAAGCATCACCAGAGGAAACATTGCAAGTAAACATCCCAAAGTTATCAAATGGGTATGTATATGTCCCGAATAGCATTACCCTAGTGGGAAACTTATCACTTCAGATGGGGCATGTCAACAACACAGTCGTTAACAACCTAGGTAGGAATCTCATAGGAAGGATGAGGGTAACCTATGGAAGTGATGTCATAACCGACCATAATAGGTATGATTTATATTATACATATGAAGATYTGTTTAAACAAGTTAGAGAGCGTGATAACATGCTTCGTGAAGGTGTATCATCCCTCAATATGCGTAGACTAAGAACAGATGTAGGTAACAAGGTTACTACCGATGCTGGAGAAGTTGYYCTAGGAGCTATACACGGTAACGAGTATAAAATCCCAATATCGCATGAAATCTTGAATAAACATGGTGTACTAAACATGAGAGCTTTGAACAACGATCTCGTATTCGAGATTACCTTAGCACAAAGCAAAGCTATCGGGGTTACGAGTGATAATACAGCAAATTATGAATATACCCTTAGCGGACTAAAACTAGAGTATGAGACTGTTCAAAGCGAGTATCTATCTCAGGATGCAGCTAGTAGTTATCAACTTGGAAAAGGGTTTTACTATGAACACGTAGTCCTCCTAAAATCTTTCACCATAGCTAAAGCAACTGATAGCATCATCAATGAAAAAGTAAACATACCRAGACGTAGCCTCACAGGWATTTTAATGCTGTTCGTAGAACCATATGCAGCAGGTGCGAGGGATAGTGAGAAATTCGTAAACCCAAACATTACGAAAATCGATATAAACATCGATGGGATGCCTAATAAGCTGTTTAGCAAAGGTATGCTTCCTATAGACATATGGGACAGCATYGTCAAACGATATGGTTTAAGCGATAATRTCACACAAAAACAATTTTATRCBGACAAATATGCTGTATGGATYGATCTAAGAACATTTTATGACAATATTTTACACGGTGCGGGKTTTCATCTGATTAGCACGAAAGACGGCATTCTACTAACCATTCATCGTACGACTGGTGGATCTGGTAATGTTACATGCTATGTTTACATCGTGGGTGATGCTGTCTTCGAAGTGGAAAATTCTGATTTGAAATCGATAGTGTATTAAAAAATTAGCGTTATAATATATATATGGAAGAGTTAATACATCAAATTCCCTATAACTGTATAATAGTTGGTCCTACTAACTGTGGAAAGACACGATTCTTAGTCGATACTCTTAGAGGGGGTTATAAAGACAGATTCGAGTATATTATCCTAGTTTGCCCCACATATTCAAAAAATAAAACATACCAAGGTTTTGCTAATAATGACCCTAGATTCATAGTAATTCAACCTGATAGTAGCGATATAGATGATCTTAACCAAATATTACTAGATGTCGAAAAAGTTTTTAGTGGGTATATGACACTCATAATTCTAGACGATGTTGCATCTAGTAGTGAGGTAAAAAAACGGTCTAATCAATTCGTTAACCTAGCATTTAGCGCAAGACATTCTAATATATCAGTTTGGGTGTTGACACAACATTTGACATCTATTGCTAAACCTTTTAGGGATAACATAAGCTGTATAATTAGCTTCTTCACACCGAACAGAATATCTAATCAAACATTATTTGATGAATATGGTGGAGATCTAGATGCTGGACTTAGGAAGCATTATATGGAAATGCTAAAATCAGAAAAGTAYKCTAGGATTTGCATATGTCTACGTCACCCATTCAATTCGTATGTAGAAATTCCGAAAATGCTTTAAGAKAAAATATGTATACCTATTATAAGATGGAAACAGTTCTAGATCAGTTCAATAATGATAGCTTAGAAACCATACACGAAGAAGAACCAATAGTGAATGAAAATAAACCGATTAGAAAGAAAAAGTCTACGGTTAAGAAAGACGATAGTGTAGATGTAGAAGAAAAACGTGAACAATTATAYATTTTAGCAGTYCTAGGRACRATCGAGGTATACACAGGYAATAAGATGAGTMTCGGKGATGTTAAGAAATTATCAGCAAAAGATGTTGATAGATTCTATAATAGATATCAAGTAATCATGGGTGCACAAGTTGCAGGGACATTAGTCGATACGACAATAGATGCTGCAACTGAGTTAACTAGTTATATATTGCCTATAGACAATAAAAAATCTTTATCCCGTGATCTTAAGGAAAATCAGATGATAAGACAAGAGCTTACTAACGCAGCTGGTTATGCTATCCTAAAAGGTGGAAGATTCATTGCATTAGCAACAGGATTATTTCAAGTAGCTAAACATATAGATCGTAACCATACTAGTAATAAAGAAGCAGTAGAAGACATGGATAAGTACATTCATGATACTACACTTCAAACTCTTGAGCAGTCTTGAGCGGTCTTGAGCATCTCTTAAGCACCTCTTGAGCAGACTCTTGAGCATTTCTTGAGCAGACGATGATTCTCTTGACGATTTCTTGAGCAGACTCTTGAGCAGACTAAATGTATATAAATAATTATTTTGTTATTCATATATAGAATGTCTGAAAACGATAGCACACAAATAGAACAAATAACTAAGACGCCTGAACAGAAAGTAGAACGCATTAAGGATCCTAAGAAGGTAGCAGCAGATAAACGTTTGGCTGATTATCATAAAAGAGCTAAACGAGCCCTTAAAGCTGATACTGATACTGAGGAAAAAGATAATGGTGAACATAAGTGGATGCCTGAAATATCACTAACAACTGCATTAACAATGGTTGG